TAATGGTTCGTTATTCAGACAAGTATAGTAATAAAACAGCCTGGATCAGTTAAAACATGTCCCTAGATTGACTCAATTGAAGAATGGAGGGCAAGAAAATAGGTCTGTACCGTGATGCAAAATGTCCTCCCCTTGGGCCTCAGCCTTAGTTGGAACCACCTTGTGGTCACTGGGCTCATGGTCATGCTTTTCTGATTTTTCATTTATCCTATCTATAATACAATACCATAAGCAAACAATTGTCCTGAGTAAAAGATCGTCCCTCACATCTACCCATTGCAATATGCAGTAAAACATCAATAGTATTCAAAAGGTTTCTTCTCTGTGAGCTCCGTGAAGCAGAACAAGGTATGTTCTTTGTATTATAACTCTCCAGCCACTTTTCCATGGTAGGCTGGTACTTTGGCCTCCAGTGAACCAGGCTCTTTGCATTATTTTTTCCCACATCGACTCTGGGCTTGGTCATGTGACTAGAGTTGGCCAATAGGATATTATTAAGCATGAAGTGAGCCAAGACTTGATAAGCATTTGCACATTGGCACTCACTGTCTTCCTTTCAGAACTCTTTTGGTGTGTGGTGAGAAGCCCAACCTAAGCTTCTGCAAAGGCAACATGGAGGAGAATTGAGAGTCTGGTCAACAACTCTCCACGGAGCATCTAGGAGACAGTCAGCCTCAACTTGTTGTCCACATGAGTAAGCCATATTGGGAGTGGATCTTCCAATCCCGACTGAGTCACATGGAGCAGAGATGAGTTGTCCCCAGGTCCTGCCAAAATTATGGAAGAGTAAGCAAATAAATGACTGTTGTTATTTTAACCCCCTCCCCTCAAATTTTGAGTGGTATGTTATGTATCATTAGATAAATGAAAAACATTCCCTCGACAATCTGACACACCCATCTCTTATGCTTTAGGACTCCTTTCACATACTAGATTTTCCATAATGTTGATTGAACTAATGAATGCCTTTTTCCAAATACTTTTTATTGATCATCTCATAATGCAACAGTTTACATCCAGATATTAATAGTCCTCAATTCCTGCTAGTTTCTGAATACACTGCAGGTCAGTTTCTCTCCACTGCACATTCCTTAATTATGCATTAACTTATTTAGCTATTATGGTGGTGGGTGCTACAGTGACAAAGCTCATTTTTCCCTTTTTAAGGGAAATTTCTAGCAGTTATAAGCCAAAAGTAATTGGTAATTTACTATTTACAAATTTATGGAACTATAGCCCCTCTGTCCTTCTCTGCCTGCTCCTAATAATAAGTCTTAATAAATTAGACATTGTTTTTATTTTTATTTATTTTTTTAAGATTTTTTATTTATTTATTCGACAGAGAGAGACACAGCAAGAGAGGGAACACAAGCAGGGAGAGTGGCAGAGGGAGAAGCAGGCTTCCCACAGAGCAGGGAGCCCGACGACGTGGGGCTCGATCCCAGGACCCTGGGATCATGACCTGAGCCGAAGGCAGACGCTTAATGACTGAGCCACCCAGGCGCCCCAGTAATTATATTTTAAATATATACAGAACAGTACACAAATCATGAATGTACAGCTTGTTGAATTTTCATCAAGAGCATGTCAGTGCATTCACCACTCATAGCAGGAAATAGAGCACAATGAGCCCCCCAGAAACCTCCCTCAAGCTCCTGCCCAGCCACCACTCCTCCTTCCCCAGACAAGCACTTCATTATGTCATACACAGCAAGTTTAAGTTTACTTGCTTTTGATTTACATGTTAATGGAATTCTGCCCTATGTATCATTGTATGCCTTTTTTAAATTCCATATTAGGTTTGTGAGACTGATCCACATCTCGTCCTATAGCAGCACTTGCTCATTTCCATTCATATAGAATATGGCTCTACCACAGTTATTTTGCTCTAGCATTTTTAATGAAAAGTCCTAAACAACAGCACAACTCACAGAATTTTACAGTGAACACTCTTCCACTATCTTATATCTACTCATCTATCCATCCTCTATCCACCAGTTCACCAAAGTGTACTGCATCCGTACCTTTCCCTCTAAAAGAGTGTGCGTTGCTACTTTCGGTTCAGTATTTGTTGAGTTTTTCTTTTGATATGAAATTTGCATACAACGAAATGCACAAATCTTGAGTGTACATTCTCTGACTTTTGACATGTATATGCACCTATGTAAACTAAACCCTAAAGAGTTCCCCCATCCCCTTCCGGTTCATTCTAATCCCTGTTTCCCAGAGACTGTCATAGCTCTGACTTTTTTCTACTATAGTGTTGTGTGATTTATAACTTATCAATGGGCTCATATTCACTCTCTTAAATAAGAGATATTTCACTCAAATATTTTTGAAGTTCATCCATGTTGCCTGTTTTGGGATGGTCTTTTTTTTTTTTTAACTAAATAGTATTTTTTTTAACTAAATGGTATGCCATTGTATAAATATATTTTATCCATGCTGATATTATTAGACACATGGATTGTGTGAAGTTTTTCACAATTATGAATTAAGTTACCATGAACATCTTTGTACGTTTTTATGGAAACATATACTGGATTTCTTTGGGATAATTACCCATGATTGAAATTGTTGGGCATTTGGTAAGGTAGAGTATAATTACTTTCATAAGAAACTGCCAGATCTTTTAGTAAAGTTTATACCATTTTACACTCCCACCAACATCTTTGCCAACATTTGGCACTCTTATTTTTCACTCATTCTGATGAGTGTGTAGTAATATCTCATTATGGTTTTTAATTTTCATTTCTTGGCTGACTAATGATATTTAATAATTTTTATATGCTTATTGTCCATTTGTATATTTTCCCTTGTATATTTGAAGATTTAACTCATCTTTAAAATTAGGTTGTTTCTTATTTATTATTGCATTTAGGAATTTTTTATATACACAAGTATCAGTCCATTGTCAGATTTATATTTGTGTTCTCTCCCATTTTGTGGGTTACCTACTCATTTTCTTAATGAATGATGATATCTTCATAATTATGATCAAGTCTAATTTATCATTTTTTTATTATTACTGCTTTCTGTGTCCTGTCTAAGAAACTTTGCCTACTCCCAAATTATGCTTTTAAAAAAAAAAGATTATGGTTTTAGGTGTTAGGTTAAGGCCTGTGATCTCTCTTTAATAAAATGTTGTGTGTGATGCGAAGGAAGAGTCAAGGTTCATGTTTTCAGTTGCACACCCAGTTTGTCAGACTTTTTTTTCCTTTCCCCACTGGATTGCTTCAGTATCCTTCTTCAAATCCAAATAAGTGTGGGTGGATTTAAGTGTGGGTCTATATCTGGGCTCACCACTCTCTTACATGGAAACATTTGTCAGTTCTTACGCCAACACCACATTGTTTTGATTACTGTGGCTTTATAGTAAACCTTGAATTAAGAAGCGTAAATCCTTCTCTCTCTTTTTTTTAATGATTTTATTTATTTGACAGAGAGATACAGCGAGAGAGGGAATATGAGCAGGGGGAGTGGGAGAGGGAGAAGCAGGCTTCCTGCCAAACAAAGAGCCCAATGTGGGGCTCAATCCCAGCACCTGGGATCATGACCTGAGCCGAAGGCGGAAGCTTAACGACTAAGCCACCCAGGAGCCCCAGAAGCGTAAATCCTTCTATTTGTTATTCTTTTCCTAGATTGCTTTTTCTGTGCCATGGTTGATGGGAATTATCTGAAATAATTTTACTTATTATTTAATTAACTATTCCACCTGACTAGAGTATAAAGTTATAATAGTAGAGGACATGATTGTCTTTACTCTGTATTGCTTTGCCTGTGTCTAGAACAATGACTGGACCATAGCGAATATTGAATAAATACATGTTGAATGAATAGCTTTCCATGGGCAGTTAATCAGCTCAAGAAAACGTCTCACCTCCATAAATGGTCACAACTTTATTTTGGTGGGATATGTACCTAATGTGATAGTCTCTGGTACGATCATTTATTTACCTAGTTTCACTTTCAGATATTTTAAAAAATCAAATACATCTTCAATGTATGCAGATGGATCAATAAAAATGATATTTAAATAAGTTAGGTTTTCCATAAGCTCTAAAAGTCATGTCATAAGAAGAATTCCAGATAAGTTTTAGAGAATAACATCATTTTAGAGGATTAATTGCAGGAAAATAGAACTAGTATGAGTATTTATAATTGTTCTAATCGGCTTTTAAAATATAGTGGTTTTACTTTTATTCTAATCTAGTTCTCAGAAACAGAAGAAAAGTCAGTTTCTCTTAATTACTTTATGGCCTTTATAATACTGGCACTAAGTATTGTAAAGCTATACACAATTTTTATATTTATAGCCTATGACAAATATCACAGCCCAGGCCAGCTGCAAGGCCCCTCACTAAATTGTTCAGGTACATGAAAAATTTGGAGCTGGAAACAATACATTTTGGAAATCAGGAACTAACTCCCCAAACCTCACCTCTCTGAGATTCTCCCAAACCTCTCTTCCCTGCACCACAAATGCTTCTCCTTGTGTTTACCAACTCACACTTACGGTCCCTGCAATATATTCTCTTCCTTGTCTGGGTGACATTTATCTCTTCTGGAAGGGCTATAGATAAAGATCAGAATTACTGAAAAGGACTAATCTATTTACAAAGAATATCCCTGAAGGACTGAAAGACATTCCCAGATCTGAAAATACATTCATCACATGGAAAAGACTCACCAAATGGGAGGCAGGAGGAGCGAAAAAGGAAAATCCACAGAGAGAATCTTATGAAACTTTGGAATTGTGGCCATTCACAAGAAAAAAAATCCTAAAACCTTCAAAGGAGAACATATGATCAATTATTTCCAAAAGAAAAAGATCCTGAATGGTAGAAAACTTTTCATCAGCAACATCAGCCACTAGAAAACAGTAGTGATGAGCTTCCAAAATGATCAGGGGAAACTTTGAACCTAAAATTTCATTTCCAGTGGAACAACTCACGATAAGGGGGGAAAGCATTTTGAAATATGCAAAGGTTTGGTAAGTTTATAACTATGCAAACTGTATGCAAAAGTTATTCTGGAATTTGATTCAGTGAAACAAATGAAAATACAGTTAGAGGATGAAACAGAAGGGAAAAAATTGCTACTGTACGAGACATAATAGAAGCAAAGAAAACTAAAAAGATGGAAAATAGGACTCAGTGGGCCTTGCAATTTTAGAAAGGCGTTTCAGGGTACATCGAATTACATGTGTCCAAGTGAGAGAGAATTTTTTTTTTTAAAGATTTTATTTATTTTGACAGAGAGAGACACAGCGAGAGAGGGAACACAAGCAGGGGGAGTGGGAGAGGGAGAAGCAGGCTTCCCATTGAGCAGGGAGCCCCACACGGGGCTCAATCCCAGGACCCTGGGATCATGACCTGAGCCGAAGGCAGACGCTTAACAACTGAGCCACCCAGGCGCCCCCAAGTGAGACATAATACTGCGTCATGATGAAGATATGGAGTCTGGAGCCAGACTACTTAGAGCTAACCACTATTTAGTTGGCTTCTTCAGTTTGGTTTGTGCACTTCACAATACTTTTTTTTTTTTTCCCTGAATGTATACAGGTAACACCTAACTGTAGACACACACAAACACACAATCCTATTGTGAAATTGGGAGGTAACCTCCTGAGCTACTACTGCCCAAGGCTGACTCAGATTTCATCTGAAGCGCCTGCATCTGCCAGTGCTGCTTTCTGATCATCCTATACATCTAAACGCCTTTCTACTTGTCATCTTCCTCCGCTTTCCTTTATGAGGTCAAAGAAGCCACTTTTGTACTCCCAGGAACACCTGAAGCGTTTTCTCCTTTTCAAGCGCATTATCCTAAAATGCCAGCTTCTGTCTCCTCTCCAGCCAACAAAAGCGAGGAAAGGAGAGAAGTTCTTTCAAACTCACAGGGCTCTGTAACTTTAAGACAAAGATATGATTTATTTATTTATTTATTTGAGAGAGAAAGCACACAAGAGCAGGGGGCTGGGGAGGGGAGGCAGAGGGACAGAGGGAAAAGCAGACTTCCCACTGAGCAGGGAGCCCCAAGCAGGGTTTGATCCCAGAACCCCGGGATCGTGACCTGAGCTGAAGGCAGATGCTTAACCAACTGAGCCACTCAAGCACCCCAAAGATATGATTTAAAAAAAAAAAGGCTATTGCAAAATGATCTCCATAAATTTCCTAATGTGCTTTTCCAGGTCCAGATATCCACAAAGAAAAATAAAATTAATTACGGTCTAAAGGATTTTATTATGTTAATTATAAATTCTTGCTATTACATGTACACTGAGTTATGATACACTTCTCCCCACACCTCTATCGTCTCTCTTTTCTTCCATTCTCCTTGTTGATTCTGACTAGATTTCAAGCACCAGACCAAAGAAAGACCAAAGAATACTAAAACCAACGTGCGGTCCCAGCTCTAGCCAACATGAGAGATCTTATCCCAGTAAGAATTTTAAAGATATACCTTCATTTACTCTGATAACAGCCGACCGTTCCTTTTTCCATTAGTCCAAATTCAGTCGTTTTCACCAGGAAGGCATGGCAGATTTGCTGCAATCTTGAAAGTGAAACTAAAAAAAGAAAAGAAAAAAAAAAAAAAGGAAAAAAAAAGCAAGCTTCTTATAGTTCTTGGATTCTAAGAAGTACAAAGGGAAAAAAGCACAATATCAGGAAGAGAAATATTAAATTGCTTCTTAAAAATGTCTTGCTTTTCTGCCTCGTGTACAGTCCCTTGGGTTTCATTAAAAGGGTCACAGATTTAGCAACAGAGAAGCTGAAAAAGTGGGACCTCCCTTGGCGTGGGCAGGGCTAGTACTCTAGAGGTTAGCAGATGCCTGAGAGTGAATTCCTCTATTTTTTTCCTAAAGACTGATGCAAAACTGTCAGAACCTAGTAGAGTATGGTCAAAGTGAGAAAAAACCTCAATCCCTAATCAAAGCTAACTACTTTCATTTCCCTTATCTTCTTAGCAACTCAGGATGATAAGTAATGCAGAAATTAACCTTTTGATCCAAGAAGGCACCTAGTTTGTAATAGAGAACTGCTGGCCCCTGCAAAGCCAAAAGCCAGTCCTAACTCATGCTACTCCAGTTTCCATAGTTAGAGCCTGTTAGGGAGCAAACAGATGTGCCCAGAGAAGTCCAGATTCACCAGTTGGGAGGCAACTGTGAATCTGGAAAATCATCAATTTTCCAACTCAATAAACTTTACTGACTAGTTAAAGGAATGTGCTTGTCAGGAAAAGAACACATTTCTCATTATTAATGTAATAGGATATAATGTTACCAGCTATATTGTTATATAGTAAAATATAACACTTTGAAGGAACCGTAGAGATCACCTAATTTGACTCCCTTGTTTGAGAAATGAGGAAACAGCATGGTGAGGGATTTGCCTAAGGATATACCACAAGTTACCATAATGGTTCGTTATTCAGACAAGTATAGTAATAAAACAGCCTGGATCAGTTAAAACATGTCCCTAGATTGACTCAATTGAAGAATGGAGGGCAAGAAAATAGGTCTGTACCGTGATGCAAAATGTCCTCCCCTTGGGCCTCAGCCTTAGTTGGAACCACCTTGTGGTCACTGGGCTCATGGTCATGCTTTTCTGATTTTTCATTTATCCTATCTATAATACAATACCATAAGCAAACAATTGTCCTGAGTAAAAGATCGTCCCTCACATCTACCCATTGCAATATGCAGTAAAACATCAATAGTATTCAAAAGGTTTCTTCTCTGTGAGCTCCGTGAAGCAGAACAAGGTATGTTCTTTGTATTATAACTCTCCAGCCACTTTTCCATGGTAGGCTGGTACTTTGGCCTCCAGTGAACCAGGCTCTTTGCATTATTTTTTCCCACATCGACTCTGGGCTTGGTCATGTGACTAGAGTTGGCCAATAGGATATTATTAAGCATGAAGTGAGCCAAGACTTGATAAGCATTTGCACATTGGCACTCACTGTCTTCCTTTCAGAACTCTTTTGGTGTGTGGTGAGAAGCCCAACCTAAGCTTCTGCAAAGGCAACATGGAGGAGAATTGAGAGTCTGGTCAACAACTCTCCACGGAGCATCTAGGAGACAGTCAGCCTCAACTTGTTGTCCACATGAGTAAGCCATATTGGGAGTGGATCTTCCAATCCCGACTGAGTCACATGGAGCAGAGATGAGTTGTCCCCAGGTCCTGCCAAAATTATGGAAGAGTAAGCAAATAAATGACTGTTGTTATTTTAACCCCCTCCCCTCAAATTTTGAGTGGTATGTTATGTATCATTAGATAAATGAAAAACATTCCCTCGACAATCTGACACACCCATCTCTTATGCTTTAGGACTCCTTTCACATACTAGATTTTCCATAATGTTGATTGAACTAATGAATGCCTTTTTCCAAATACTTTTTATTGATCATCTCATAATGCAACAGTTTACATCCAGATATTAATAGTCCTCAATTCCTGCTAGTTTCTGAATACACTGCAGGTCAGTTTCTCTCCACTGCACATTCCTTAATTATGCATTAACTTATTTAGCTATTATGGTGGTGGGTGCTACAGTGACAAAGCTCATTTTTCCCTTTTTAAGGGAAATTTCTAGCAGTTATAAGCCAAAAGTAATTGGTAATTTACTATTTACAAATTTATGGAACTATAGCCCCTCTGTCCTTCTCTGCCTGCTCCTAATAATAAGTCTTAATAAATTAGACATTGTTTTTATTTTTATTTATTTTTTTAAGATTTTTTATTTATTTATTCGACAGAGAGAGACACAGCAAGAGAGGGAACACAAGCAGGGGGAGTGGGAGAGGGAGAAGCAGGCTCCCTGCCAAGCAGGGAGCCCGATGCGGGGCTCGATTCCGGGACCCCGGGATCATGACCTGAGTCAAAGGCAGACGCTTAACAACTGAGCTACCCAGGTGCCCCTAGACATTGTTTTTGAAGGACAATTACAGCCTTTTTCATGTGAGGCAAAGAATCTTTTGATGATTGAAGACAATGTATAATCACTAGGAAGTCTATTCACTTCATCATAAGACTTGTAAGGGAAGGCTTAATTATGGTTTTCATCATCATCAACATCCATAAAACTAGACTACTGAAGGCTATATGGGACAGTGTTTACAATTTTCCATATAAATTAATTTAGACATGAAGATTGCATCATTGCAATTTCTGACAACATATATAGAGAGTTGAAATTGTGGGGAAAACAGACTATGTGAAAAGACAGGTTACTTTAGAGAAAATAATTATACTATTGCCAGATTCTATGAGGTCCAAATAGAGAACTAATTATTGAGGAATATTTAAACTTGGGTCAACACTGAATATCCAATCGCCAGGGAGCTGTTGGGTATTGAAGAGTCAATATCACGCACAGGTTTAATTTAGCATAGTTCTTGAGAATTTCTGCAATAGATTGGACTAATCAGTCTTCCTTGTGTTAACAGGAAGTCAAAGTAAGGTTGTACCTCTTCATCAATAAAACTTCTCATGGGTTTGTAATGTGATTAATGCACTATGGACCTAGATAAAGAGTAAAGAGTGCCTCAGAGCACTAGATAGGCAGGCATTTTAAATTGTGCTCACTGGTCTTCCTTCATAGCTGCCTTTTGGAAAGGACGTGATCCTACTCTGTACCATCTGAAATTCTAGCAGGCATTTCTTTCTCTTTTTTTGGTTTCTGAACTCTTTCTTTAATGTAAAGGTACAGTTCCTCTTACCAGTGCCATTTCCATTTCTGCTCATTGACTTCAGCTGTTTTAAATAAGCTCACCCAGACAACTCAGCAAGAACTTTAACAAGAGAGGAAATGACACTATGTCCTTCCCACTACTCTAACATGTACTGAACAAAATTAAACTTGAACTTCCCTTCTGAAAAAGGAAACCAATATATGAAACAGAGCTTCTGGTTTAACCTAAACTTACTTACTTATTTATTTAGAAATTTTTCACGGTAGTTGAAAAGTGGTGATATCTTTTGGTCTCTTATAAATCTGTGAAGTTGTGTTACTATGAATGAGGTCTCACTCTCCTTTATCAACAGTCCCATGATATGGTTAAGGGCTCTTCAAACCCTATACCTTGAACTTAATATTCATGTACTAAGATAAAAAATAAAATTCTAGGCCCAACTTCATTTTCATTCTACATATTAAACATCTTAATTAAATCTGATAAGCTTCTGTCTCCTGGGCATCCAAAGAATGGAGTTGTAAATGGCAGACAAAACCAACCACAGTCATAAATGGCACACAAAAACCAATCACACAAGGAAGTTCAAAGTATCAAAAGCAACTAATAACTTACCATAGTCATATTGAACTGATTATTGGTGAGATCTAATGCTCATGTAATTGATCTCCATTCTATAATGCAAAATTTGAATCAACAGGGAAAATTAAAAAGAAAGCCCAGACTTGGAAAGTCTGGGCAACTGTTTTTGACCACACTTCTTGATTTCCACCTAAGAGGGAGCTTAATCTGTTTCATGAGATGGTTTATAATAAGAATATGGGAACTGGTCCTTAAAAAGTAAGAAGTAAAAGTGGAAGAAAGGTGGGGCAAGGAAAAGTTTCCTACGATAAAGATATGGAGCTAAAATACATAAACCTAACAAAGTTTAGAAAGCTCCAATGCAGAGTTTACAGCTTATATAAAATACTAGTCTTATTCTTTACTTTATCTAGAAATAAGCCAATATAAGAGTTGAATATACACTTTAACATCATCAAAAGAAATGGTAACTTTTCTTTTTCTTTAAATTACCTGTATGTAATTTATGTAAAAAAGGACATAACGTTATTTCCTCTCTTGTTTGTTCAAATTGCTACTTGGTTTTCATATTTTTATAATTGATTTACTGTAAGAGTTTTTGGGATATTACAGAAATTAGCTTTCATCTCAGTGTATTGACATTTTTTTGCCTGATATGTTGTTTAATTTTTCAAAATGATTGTCTTAACTACACAAAAGTTCCTCAAGGGTGTGATATCAGCAAAATGCCAAACTAGAAAGTTTCAATCCCTTATTCCATGAAAACACCAAAAAACAAGAAACTGGCTGAATTAACCTTACGGTAGCTGTGAAAAACCACCAAAGAGCTACAGTAACCAAGTGAATTCCCAGGCAAGAAAAATTTACCTTAAAATTGATAGGAAAATTCATGGAAATTTTACTCACCATTTCCCCACTCCCTCCTGGCTCAGCAGTCTTCATCTAGAAGATGCAGCAGCCAAATTCCCAGTTGCAGATTAAACTTACCGGCTATGTTCTACCCTTTCTGGGGGCTTCATAAAGGACTAGTTGTCTCATATAACTTGAATCTCAGTCTAGGGGAAAAGCAGTAGTCACTGTTTGTGCACCTGAGGCAAAAAATGACAGGTGGGGACATACAATAGACCATCTAGTCCCTGGGGAAAAGCTGGAATGAACTCTTTGGGATATTAAGACATTCAAAAATAGCCATGTATATGGAGGAATTGAGAGAGCCACACACAAGCCCAGGCAAGAGGCATTCTCAGAAAAGACCTGAGTGGACCTTAAGCTTTTATCCCAGGCTTATCCCTGACCC